ATGAGTAAATATATTTATAAACATACATTTATGAAAAAGATATTAAGAAAATAGCTAAACTTCCCACAAAAGTTATCTGCATGAACTATCTTTAGTATACCACTCTGTGTTCAATGCACATGCATATACAATTGAATTATATTAGTGTTATTTTTATTGGGCGAGTTTTCCAAAAAGAAAACAGGCTTATTTTTTTAAACTTCAAGTTAAATGATTTAAAATCATTTTTGTAAAAATATTAGAAATACCATATAAATTCTAACTATCTCTGCTATCTGACTGACAGCCATTCCAGAGATGGATTTCAGTCACACTCTTAGTGACCCCTGTTTTAGCATCTTGGCTTCCAGAGGAAACACATCTTAAGCTTTGTTTCCTGTGTGGTAATTCTGTTTTTGCAGTGGTTCTTAAAGAACCACTACAGTTAGGATTTCATTACTTTATAGGAAACTCAGTAGATCATCTTCAAATATGTCATAAACATTTGCTTTAAGATGTAGCTAAAAGCAGAAATCTAAACCTTAAGGAATTTCTACTCATTCAGGTTGCTGTGATTGGCTTGAAATGGTTTAGACTTGTGACCCTCAAAAGAAAGAATATTTTGTCAACCGACAGGGTCCCTTTCTCCTGACTTGTTCTCTTGTGCAATTCAAGACCATAGTACCTAACACTCATGCAACCACCAGATGATTTCAAACTTCAGAGTCACAGAATCTAGAGAAGGGCCCAAAGAGCTATAAAATACACAATGAGTGACATTTCCATAGATCAGCATAAGATTTCTCATTCCCTGGGAATACATTTTCAAAGGCTTTCTCTGTCACAAAGAGCAGACTCTGAGGTACATCAGAGTGGAAATGTGGATCAAAAAGAAAATGTTAAGGCTCATTTATTTATTTTGTGAGGAAGATCAGCCCTGAGCTAACATCTGCTGCCGATCCTCCTCCTCTTTTTGCTGAGGAAGATTGGCCCTGGGCTAGCATCCGTGCCCATCTTCCTCTACTTTATATGAGATGCCGCCACAGCATGGCTTGACAAGTGGTGTGTCGGTGTGCGCCCGGGATCTGAACCCCGGGCCACCGCAGCGCAGCACGCACACTTAACCGCTTGCGCCCCTGGGCCTGCCCCAAGGCTCATTTATTTTTATTCATTAAAATTTGCCCCAATCTTTACATGATAAAATCTACTTAATCTTGATGCCTCAATGCTTCAGACATTCCATCCCTGGTTATCAAATACAAATGTCAAAGTCTTCTTTTTCCCTTCCCAGCATTTTGCAGAGCCCTAAATTAAAGTCTTCAGCCCCAAGTACCCCTTCTATTTTCTGTATTTGTCAAGTCTCGAGGCCTGACCTAGGAACAGATCTCTTTACTGTATGATAATTGGGGATGACCAGCAAGAAGCCCTCACAGCTAATTCTCCAAGAATCCACTGCACAGGGAATGGATAGATAATCCCAGACCTTTCTTCTCCGAGAAAGTTTTTTGATTTGAGGATGATTATTTTTAGAGCAGAATTTATTTAAAGCCCATATTTCTTCTGAAGGCATTAATAGTTTAACTATTATAAGCCAGCAGGAACTTAAATAAGGCATCCTAAATCTGGCAAATCTAACCAAAAATCATAAAACTTCAGTGATGCTATTTTAGACAAGAGAGGCTGGTAAGCAACTGCTAATTTTAAAGGATTAACAATATACAAAATTAGGCAATAGGTTTTCCCATATGAAAGATAATAAAAATGGGATGAACCTATTGATCTTCTAGCACAAAACTTTGCCGGAGGTGGTGTGGTGGCAGTAAAGATGCGACTAGGATATGCAAGCAAAACTTTCAATGATCTCAAAAATATGATCCGTCTAGCCACTCAATAGAAACTCCCGTTGAAAGAGATTTAGTAGCCATATAAATTTTCCATACCACAGAAGTTTTCTCCTATTTGTAAACTTAAAATACAGCTGACATCTCTAATAAATCAAGTTCTGTAACAGTAAGCTTTTTACTCCCTCTGGAGTATTTTTGGCTTAGCATGTACAGTTACTGTGGCTTCACAGAAAATGCTCACATTTTGGCAAATGCTCACAACTTGGAACAAAAGAAAAAATGAAAATTTTGCTATAAGATAAATGAACCTCAGGGGGTGGGTAGCTGATGAAATCTGTTCCAGGTATTTGTCTCATTCCCCTGGCTCCCCTGATCCATGGGAGATATAACAAATGGTTTCTATGGCACAATCAACTGACCCAAATGAATGAACACAGAAGAGTCAAGACAAATCAAAAAACCTAATGCTGCCCACAACAGATTAAAGATGGGCCCAAATCCTTGACACATCTTCCATCAGGTGGTAAGGTATTTCCTCTCCTCTTGAATCTGGGCTGACCAGTGATTTCTTTGACCAGCAGTGTATGGCGATGACTCTATGATAGCTTTGGGCCTGGCCTTTAATAGCACTGGCACCTTCTGCCCAGTCTCTTGGAGGCCTGAGCTGCCACTTAACGTCTTACTACCCTGATGGAGATGCCACATAAGAGTCCCTGAGACTCCAGAGAGGGAGAGGAAGCCTGCTGAGCCCAGTCTTCTAGCCCTCCCTGCCAAGGTATCAGGCATGTAGGTACGGACATCTTGAGCACTCCAGCCAGTCCAACTACCTGCTGAATACTACCAGGTGACCTCAGTCATCACCACAGGGAGCAAGAGAATTGCCTAGATGAGCCCTTCCTGAATTTCTCATTCACAGCATGAAATATATAAAATAGCTATTTTAAGTCACTGAAGTTTAGGGTAGTTTGTTACACAGCAATAGATAACTGGAATGCTCTTTCAACTTTTGCCTTGGTAGTAACTCATTCACTCACTCACAATTAGACCTACCACATGGGTGACTCCTCTGAATCAGTGGACAATATGCCCAGAAAATATTATTTACCATTCAACATCTGCTCAGAGGTCAATTCTATTACCATTCGAAGAAATGGTCCAATCTCTTATTCTTGAATTAAAAGTTCACTAGGGCTGGCCCCGTGGCTTAGCGGTTAAGTGTCCGCGCTCCGCTACTGGCGGCCCAGGTTTGGATCCCGGGCGCGCACCGAAGCACTGCTTCTCCGGCCATGCTGAGGCTGCGTCCCACATACAGCAACTAGAAGGATGTGCAACCATGACATACAACTATCCACTGGGGCTTTGGCGGAAAAAAAAGGAGGAGGATTGGCAATAGATGTTGGCTCAGAGCCAGTCTTCCTCAGCAAAAAGAGGAGGATTAGCATGGATGTTAGCTCAGGGCTGATCTTCCTCACACACACACACAAAAAAAGTTCACTAAGAGCAGTCCTGTTACCAGCTATTGTATATTCCAGTTCACCTCGACTCTTTATAAGTAAAGAGTCACTATGATGTAGTAGAGACAGCGTGGGCTTTGGAATCAGATTGGTAAATACTGGCTCTGCAATTTATCCGTTATGTAACCTTGGGCTCATCAACTTCCTCACCTATAAAATGTGGTCTAATTACACCTACTAAAGACAACATAGTCTATTAAGAGGGTCAACTCTAGTGTTTGACTGCTTGGGGTCAGCCTCTCTATGTTTCAATTTCTTCCTCTCTAAAGTGAGGGTAATAACAGGATCCCCCTAAGGGGATTGTCATAAGGATTAGATGAGTTAATCAATGTGAATCACACAGAACTAGGCCTGGCACATAGTAAGCATTCAAAAACAGTCAGCTATTTTTAGTTCTTGTTATTACCGCACAGGATTATTCTGAGGATTAACTGTGATTAAGTCACTAAAGCACTTAATGCTCTCTCCTTCTTTTTGATCTTTTATCTCCTTAGTGAAAGTGCAGGCTTTTAGAAAGCATATATCCAGACTCCAATCAAGCAGGTTAGGACTCACAAGTACAGGAAGTCACATCTAAACTATGTTTAAAATCAATTTTGTTATACAAATCCAAGCACATTGTCTAGTACCAAGAAGTACTTAATATTTACTGAGTGGAACAGATTCTCCTGTACGCTACTTATCACTTAAGATAAGTGATTTCATAGACTAGGAAACATTTCCCATGAGATACTTTGACTTTTGGCATTATGGATTAATTCAGATTCTAAGACTCACAGTATATTAAATTGTGCTCTTGGCCATATGAAATACCGTACGTACGTCTCTCCTAACCGGATGGTAAATTCCAGCCTCCTCAACAGCACTTACCGAGTAGACATGAAAGAAGCAAGCATTAGAAAAGGTTCTTTTTCATTAACTGCTTTGCCTTTATAACTTAGCTTTGTTGTTTAAAGCTTCCAATATTTGAACTAGTGGGCCTTTCTTAACTGTGTTAAGATGGGTGGTATTTGTTATATAGATAATGGGGAAGATGTGAGATAAATTTATTTATATATATACCCTCAGTGAAGATAATGTATATTTTAAGTAATATTTGCTTTCTAAGTCATTGCTGTTCCTCACAGCTGAGGGAAAAGATAGTCTGCCTGCACAACAAAACTGGATAGCCTATGCAGATGTCTTCCAGGTTTTGATATCACTGCTCTTATCAACAATTACATCCTTTGGAATGTAACTAAGTCAGGTGTTTCAAAGTACTCATAATACCCAACTCTGGCTTGTCCTGGGCAAGAAAACCTACTTATTGCAAAGTAAAAGTATTACACCACATAAGAATAAGGAGACTGAAAACTGAGAAACAGACCAAAAAGTAAAGAAGGCAAAACATAAGACTGATAATTACCAAAGAAGTCATAATGCTTGGCAAATTCATATTTAAATGACATCTATTACCAAGACCTCAAATAGAGTTGGATGCAGATGAGTCATTGGGCTATCTAAATCCAATTTCTTTCACAAGACCTATATCCCAGATTAATCAGAATCACAAGTTAATTAGAAAAGCAACACTCCAAAATCTAAAGAGCCCACTATTACTATAAGTGGCCTAAGACAAGGCAGATTTAACCTAGGCAAATATTCTGGAATCTTATAGATGAGGATTATTTATCACTCTGAGGGTATATCATATAAAACTTACTAATAACCAACTTAGAAAAAGGCAACTTTAAGAATAAAATGCCTAGTGAAGAGGTGCCCTATCGGAAGCTAGGTCACTCCTCCAAACTTTTGTGTTGGTAGAGCTCCCAACAAAGAATCAAACTCACTGTAATGTATCAGCATGGCCTAGAACACATGTCCAGATAAATCAATTTAACTCAGAAATCCATGTATTGTTTCCAAATGGGGAGAAATTATACTCTCCTCTTGCAAGGAATTCTGTTTATCATCATCCTAACATTTTTCATTTTTTCCACATCTGGCATAAATAAGCTATTTGAACAATAGGAATAAACATTCACAGCAAATTCATAATGGCCCAATACATATTTAGAGAATTACAGACAGTAACAGAAATTGGAAGATAGGTCTAAGAAGAATCTGAAATCCTCAGATGTTTCATTACGTTTTAAAATATTCACTACAAAAACAGAAGATTTGGCTTTTTACTACTCTACATGGAACAGAGTGAGTTTACTTGAGGAAATTAAAATGAAGATTTATGGTACAGGAAAAGGGTAGAGGCTTCTAATCTAGAAAAACAGTACTTTGGATAAGAATCAAACCACTTATTCATAACAGAAATTAATTTTAATAGTAGTGGGAATAAATTCATTCTTGCCATCATTAAGCAAACCAGTTCAAGTTAACTCAGGGGAATGGCAAAACTTACTTATGAAAACATTAACTTTTTTATAGTATTTTATGTAAACATGGTACTCATTTAACCCTACATTATTATGCATGGGAACTATTTTTAAAAATTACTGTTATATCTGTAACTACCGCCCTAAACTTTAATCTACCTGCACCTTCAAGGCAAGGACAAATCAGAAGGCCTATCCTAAATGCTTTTAAAGCAATGGGGATCAGTAAGAGGGAGCACGAAGAGGAGTATGAGCAAAGGATCTAGAAAAAGATGGCAAACTCTTTCACGAAACTGATGCATATATGGTAGGAATTTAAAACCTCAACTCAACTATTATAAAGGCAAAATGGCAGGAGTGACAAATTTGGGGGGTAATTCTTTTGAATCTAATTCTGGAGTTGGCAAACTTTTCTGTCAAGTGCCAGACAGTAAATATTTTCAGGCTTTGCAAGCCACGTGGTCTCTGTCACAAGTACTCACTTTGCCATTACAGTAGAAAGCAGCCATAAACAACAGCTAAATGAATAGGTGTGGCCCTGTTCCACTGTCACTTGCTTTACACAAACAGGTGGCCTCAGAATTTGGCCTCGGGGCTATAGTTTGATGAACCCTGATCTAATTCATAAGTCCTAGGGATATATTTTGCTAAGGGGCATCCTCTCAAACTTAGGGATTTACCTGACTTAATTACTTGTCCCTTTTCTAAATCTCAGCAACTGAAATGGTTCAATATTTTGTACTCTTCCCCACATGGCATAAGTAAAGAGCTCCATTTTCAAAGACTGAGTTCACTAAAGACTTATCTGTTATTCCTTGAACTAATAAGTACACAGATAAGGAGACAGGCATTTGAGGAAGAAAAAAAAATCACATCTGTTGTATCTGAAAAAAGAAAAACTTCCGGGATTCCAACTCCTTCCTGACTAAACGCCTTTCCACTGTGATTAAGAAGACCTTTGTCTTCGTTCAATTTAATTTCCTTTCCACTACTCATTGCTTTTATTTCTTTAAATTAGATCTTCTAGTCAAACAAAATGTAGTTTTTTACCAGTTAAAAGAAACAAAATTAGTGTCAAGTAACACCTAAAACTTTTTAAAAGTTATTTCTTGACCAAACACTATTCAGCTATTAAGGATGAAGTTCACTATTTCACTCTTCCACAGACCACTTCCAACCAAAGCCAGATTTCAACTATGAAGTTAGGAGGAAAATGGTTTATTTCTATTGTCATACCATCTTTGGGAACCCTGTTTCACTGATGCAGAGCGAACTGGAAACATTAAAAAATATTAAAAAACAAAATAACAAGAAAACCTTCCTTAATTGCTCTCTCTCTTCTTTTCCACTCTTTATCCTTTAGGAACTAATTTATTTCTACATATTCAAAATTAGATTCAATCTTCTGGTATAAAGAAATGGGGTGGGGGTATTTTGCCACTTACATAAAATAAAACTCAACTCAGTTCAGAGGTAAATATGGTTCTGAGTAAAGAGAGAACAAGTCATTAGAAAGAGCCTTGCTGCCTAAGTACAGTGTTTCTGTTCATGCCAATGCTATATTTTATACTGGTATCAGAGTTCAGAGAGAATAAAAGGTACCTCTTAGAATGAAAGTAGATAAATATATTGCCATCTCTCTTCTTTTGCTGAGTAGACTGGGTAGTTCCTTTGCTATTAAGTGCCACTCAATGAACGAAAACGGTCCCAGTGTTTGCTATTTCACGGCATTAAAGTACTTAATGATTTAGCTCTCATTGCTAATGCAGTTCCCTTCACAAGGTGACATGTGCAAGTTAAGATTTGGTAATGACTTTTCAGCATTAGCTAAAGTCCATTTAGTACATCCTTAAGAGAGGTATCCTCTGTGCATACACCAATATAGCTATTCATTAATGTAGATAGAACACTACTAACTCCTACGACCTACAGTGATGTTAGCTAAGAACTAGGACAACGTCACAGTGAACCTGGATAAGAATCTTGGATAGTTATTTAGAATTATAATATCTCATCTAACTAAAATGGGGAAATTGCTTTTAGAAACTTTAATCTGTTGAAAAGCTAGCCTGGCTTGAATCTTCATGAATTTCATGGCTCTGGGCAGGCCAATTAGGAGGCGAGAACCAGCAAACAGGATTGTGCTGAAATGGTCCTAGATGGCCGGCGAGCACTCTATTCACAGTATCAATACAGCAAAAACCTATTAGAAGGGAATGAAAAGGGAGGGGGAACTGGGAAAACACTCACAGCATTTCCACATCTCTTAGACAGTCCCTACTTCATTTAAAATGCTTGTTGCTAACCACGGATGGAGTACTGACAAATGCTGCAAAGTTTCTCTTTACAGAAATTACTGCACTTCACCTTCACAATTTGGTAATAGTTTAAAACGCTCTATTTTCTCACATAAAAATCTAAGAAACTAACAAAGCAATAAAGAACTTTCCAGTATACTACTTCCCAAAAGTAGGATGGACTTAAAATTTTTTTGGTAGGCTTAAAAGCTCCATCTAAAGCAGCATATTCTGTACTTCTCACCTCCTTGCCTATTTAGTAATAGCAAAACTGTCCATTGAAAGCCTTGATTACCAAATGTTTCCCTAAACATTTTAGTCTAATTTCAACTCCACTTTTTCTATGCCACAGAACACAGCTGGTCCCTAAGATGGCCCTAGGTGACAGTTTTTATCCTATCGCATTGTTGCCCAAGTAAGGAGGAGAGTGCCCCAGTCTGTTTTCTAAAGACAAAATACAGCTTCGACACTATGTTTAAGGGTAGGTTCTCATCAAATGGTAACATCATTATGTTCCTATTAAAATATGCATTTTTATGTTTTTCCAGAAGAGAAAATAACCATTCTCTAGTGATACGGTGCAGCTGTATGTATATATACAATTCTCAGATTGCTTAAGAGTGACCCTTTGCATTCTAATTTCCTATCATCAAAGAAATGCCATTCTTTTCTACCCACCTTTCCACATACCACAAAGCACTCTCAGGAAGGGAGCACACTGCTAACATTCTCACAAATGGCTCACCAGCGCAGGCATGACCAGCCCCTCTCCCAAATCTCTTTTACAATCACCTATGCCTCTGTACCAAAACAATTTCTTAAACCACTACATATTTAAATATGCTTTAAAAAAATTAGACATTAAGAGAAGCTAGATATTTTTCTTTTTTCTATTTGCTCTGTAACTTGTACTGTAACATCTACTTGCCTGCATCCTTTAATAATCTTCCTTCATTCTCTGCATGCAAAACAGGGCATCTAAAGCTCTACATGTTTGGTAAATTCTTTCTGACTCTCAGTGCTGGATAAAAAATCTCAGAAATACCCAGGATTACCAAAAAGGTCCCTTAAAGTTTTAAAAGTCTTAGGAATGATTAAGTAACCAAACCTGATCAAAAGTGATCCCTTGATCAATTTATTGCAACATGATTGTGCATGATGTTTTCTGGTAAATGCCCTGTAGTATATTATTAAAAAGCAAAGCTCTTGGAGTCATCAGCAATTTGCTGATGGTTGGTTTATGAATTACTAGGTTTGCAGACGTGAGACATGGATTTAGTGAGGTTCTTCTATTGGACTGAAAATATAAACTATTACATATGCAGAAGGAAATGGTATTGTGGTTGCAGTAAGAACCATAGTGTTGAATTTCTTCAACCACAATATTGCGGAAAAAATGTGTTTAAAACTTCATATAAAAGTTATCAAACATGGAGACCTGTGGATTTAAAAATACAATCCAGGCTCATTTCACCGGAAAGAGACGTTTTTGATGTATAATATTGCTGTTATGTGAATCTAGGAGCCGAAGAGACTGGACGAAACTTTGGTAGTCAGCCTAACACATTAATTCATCTGGACTAGAGCCATTTCCTAACACCCGAAGTTATATGAGCACTATGGTTTACCAATACCAATCAGGAAGTTGCAGTACTGCTCTGTGCTGTTCGACATTTGCAAAACAAAAACACTTCCTTCCCTGCTCCCCTCTTCCTCAACACAACACTCAAGCTCCTCAATGTAGCAGTACCTACTGCAAACACTTGGCTGCTCATTTCACTTCCAGTTGCCTAAAGTGCTTCAGGTGATGCTGCCCACTAGAATACTGCTCCAAGATGGCTGCTTACACGAAACAACCAGGCAAAGTATCAGATGCCTAGTCAGGGCAAAGATAAGGTCTAACCTTCCACAACAATAAGAACCACCAGGATTCTTTTTTTGCCTTCTTGAAATGTGAAACTGCATGTTCTGGCAGGGAAGGAAGAGAAGAAAGTCCTCCTCCTCCTCATCCTCATGATTACTTTCTTCTCTCGTGTCTGGCTGGTTCAGATGACCAAGGCTCCTGCTGTGTCTGTTAGATCTGGGCAATTACAGCCACCAGGATAGTATGGACCAAAGTACAGTGTTCAAACATGACTGGTAGATAAATGACCATTTATCATTGTTTTGTTAAAAATTTTTTTTCTTATAAAGTTAACAAACCAAGGCTGTTGATCCCTGAATTAGAAAGTTGATTTGCTTGATTATTTTCCAAAGTGTGAGGTGGGAAGGAGGAAGGGAAGAGCCTCTAGTGCTTTTGTTATGTTGCTGATCCTCTAGTTTGGCAACATCTTGGGAGCATCTTCCGACCTAGTGACGTGGCATTTTGTGAATCTAAGTACCAGCCCATGGCCCTGATGCTGGCTGCTTACTGCCCAAAGGGGAAGAGGGTCTGCCCCCTCCCCCTCAATGTTTCAATCTGGCCCAGTGGTGGACACAGAGCCCTGGGCGGTTTCCCCAGGAGCAACTGTCTCTTCTTGTGAAGGTGACTCTTCCTCGGCCTGTCCTCGAGACGTGACAGTTGTTTCAGGGGAGATGCTATGAGGCCCCTCCAGGGGTATACAGCCAGGGTGATTTTTGCGAAAGTGCTGATTCAAGATGGCCTGGAAGGGGAAACTTTTGCCACAAACATGACAGTGAAAGGGCTTGTTGCCTGTGTGCTTGCGGATATGATACTCCAGTTGGTCTTTCCGGGTATACTTCTTGCCACACATGCGGCAGACGAACGGTGTGATCCCCATGTGCAGGCGCATGTGGCGGTCCAGGCTCCCCTTCTGGTTGAAAGATTTGGCGCAGTAGATGCAGGTGAGACGGGGGTTGTACCGGAACCATCGCTCAGATACTTCCTGCTCTCGGAGATACTCTACGTAGCCACTTACTCCCATCATTGCTGACTCGTCTACCTGTGCCAGGTGAGGAAAATAAGAAAGAACATACACCATTAAGTATACATATTAAAAGAAATCAAATCTATTCTTACCTGTTACTAAGCTATATGCTTATTTTTAGTAGAGATCCAACAGGAAATTAATTACTACCAAAAAGTAAAGATGTTAACATAATAATTAAAAAAGAAATCTGAGGACACTATTCCATTACCATAAAAGAACAAGATAAACTGCATGCTTATTAACTCCCTGCTGAACGTTCTATTTTACAGTGATAGGAGAATCTGAGCCCACTCCTACCATCTCTTGGACTCCAATTTGCAATTATATTCTAGACAATCAGGTAGGTACTTAGGCAGTGCTGGTGCAATAGAACTGTCTATGATGACGGAAATGTTCGATAATCTGCACCATCTAATACAGTAGCCACTAGCCACATGTGGCTATTAAGCCTTTGTCATACGGCTAGTGCAACTGAGGAAATGAATTTTTAATTTTAATTGCTTTCAATTAATTAAAATTTAAATTTAAACAGCCACATGTGACATGGCTAATGGCTTCTGTATCTTACAGTACAGAATACATTATGACAAGCACATTATAAATTATATTTATGGCATTATCATTAATAACAAAATTTAATCCAGTACTAACTAGCTTTATAAAAACATATACAGTTTGTAGGAAATAGTATTGCTTTTTGCCCCAAAATATTTTCCTACCATACCAACATATTATCTTCATCCTAAAGACTATCCAAAGTTTAACTGACCTCAGAGCAAACTGGCAGAAGAGCTGAGATAAGAAACTAGACCTAGATATGAATTTATTAACTTAGTTATTCCTCCCTATAACCTTTTCACAAACTGATACTCAGTAAGTATTTACTGGCTGACTATCGTCCACCAAATACAACGACAGATACCACAGCGAAAGAAGTACAAGATTTGGTTTCTGATTTTGCCCTCTGAACAAAAAGATAAAACTTCTGCACAAAAAAAGACAAAACAAAGAGACACGGGAAATACATAATCTTAATAACGTTGCTAATTCACTTTTCAAACTGCTTATACTAAAAGGTAAGTGTCCTTGACATACAGTGCACAGACATGTTATCATCTAATTTTATATACCTATTATTTGTAGTGGTTTTGAATTGATTTAAACAGATTATTAAAAGTAAATAGAATAATCTGTGATTTACAAATCATTTCTCCAATCTCTCTTAGTTTATAAAATATCTCCCTCCAAGTTAAATTTCTTACATTGTGATAATAAATTTACTTAAGACATTAAAAAAAGGCAATTATTATAAAAGCAGCATTACAACTCTGCTATTGTTAATTAGATAACTAACGCTTTAAGTCACTGCAAAATAAACGCTTTCCTTTTCTCTCTGATTTACTTTCTTTCTTTATGAAGGTCAAATGATACATATTTTAAAACTTTTTATTAAAAATTTTATACAGAATAGAATGTTGAATCCCCATCACCCAACAATTGTCAACCCATGGACAATTCTGGTTTTTCTTCACCCTCAACTATTTCTCTTCTTTCTCACATTACTTTTGAAGAAAATCCCAGACATAATTTCATCCATAAATATTCTAGTATGCATCTCTAAAAGATGAGGATTCTTTTTTCTTATTATAATCAAAATACCATTATTACGCCTAAAAAAATAACTCCTTAATATCAATCAAATAAGACCTTAATTTTGTTTTCCCTAATCTGAACATTAATAATCTAAATAGTCAAAGTATTTAATATAGGAAATAAACATGGGTTCCTTCTATCTGAAAGCTGGGAGTAGGAACAATATATTCCTTTAAATGAATAATTTAAAAATATTGGATTTATAAATGCTTTTCATTCAAAATTCTGTATTAAAATATCACTCTTCAGAAATTACTGATTTTTTTAGCTTGCTGACTTCTGAAGTCATTATATGTGTGTATATATATATATAGTATAAAACACATATGTGTTACATATGTTTTGAACAAAAAGCTTATATATGTATATAAGCAGTTTAAATATGGAGAAGGGAATTATATATGTTCAGCAGAGGCTAAAGTACCAATGCAAAGAGGAGAAGATGTAAAATTTGACTCTGGATTAACTGGAGATTTATCTAATTAGCAATTAATCTTGTGCCCTTTTCTAGAATTTCTAAAAATGTGTTTTATCTCCTTTCACATATGTTAGGTGATAGTGCTCTTCAGCTTTTCCAACAGAACCAAGGCAGTTCTCAGCAGGTTTGGGAAGCACTATGTGGAGTCAAGTGTTGAATAGTAGGACTGAGGTTTTAGATGACTGCTGAATTGTTTTATATAACACTTCTTTCTCCTCCATTTTCCTGGATAATCACAACTGAACTCACATAAACAGTAAGGGATTATCACACTAAAAGGTCCTGTGTAACCACAGACAAAGCACAGAATAACTTCTCTGAGGCTTAGTTTTCCCATCCACAAAATGAGAAGGTTAGCATATGCTTTGCCAGCTCTATTGGATTCTCAGGAGAATCAAACACGGTTAAGAGTACCCTGAAATACTCTGAATGCATGTTATTATACTGCATAGCAATTAAAGGTGCTGGAACCTGTGTCCTACTTCTTGTGTGACCTTGAGCAAGTTATTTAACTACTCTATGCGTCAGTTTCTTCATCTGCCTCATAGGTTGCTATGAGCATTGAATGAGCTAATACACTAAAGTGCTTAATGTAGCTCAATAAATGTTAGTGATTATTAAACATTACAAACACAATATTATTCACAATCTTGAGGGTACCAATTTCCTAAAAAATCCTGCCTAACCATAAGGAGAATAATGTCATACCAGCATTGTCCACAAGCAGAAAGTAAATGTATTTTTGGTATCCGTGATGAACTATAATCACAAACTCACACATTACAATCGATGTCCCCTAAAAAGTTATTGCAGTAAAGTTGTGATAAAAGAGCAAAATAAATGAGCATGAAATGTAGATTAGGTCTTGTCAAAAGCAACAACATATCTTTGGTAGTTTTATTCTGTTGAACTTTTTATTTTTTTAAATTTTATTTATTTATTTTTTCCCCAAAGCCCCAGTAGATAGTTGTATGTCATAGCTGCACATCCTTCTAGTTGCTGTATGTGGGATGCGGCCTCAGCATGG